CTTTAGTAACATTATAATATCCAAAAAGTAGATATTTGTACTAATGACTGGCAAGCAGAAATCAAGTGATAAATTACAATGTATTTACACAATGGAATATAATCTATAAGAAAAGAGATTGCACTTTTACTACATGTAACAAGTATGAGTTCCAGAAGCATAAAGTGTAAAGGAGCTAGACCAAAAAGTATGTGCTGTCCAATCCATTTTTATAAAGATCAGAAACAGCCAACACTAATGTATTGTATTAAAAATCATGATGGGTGTTATCATTTGAATTAGAGTAGTGGTCTGTGGCCATACCACCCTGAATGCGCCTGATCTCAGAGGCTAAGCAGGGTCAGGCCTGCTTAGTACTTGGATGAGAATTGAGTAGTGAGTGGAAAGAGAATCAGTTAGACTTTGGGGATTCTGGGTATATCTATTTCTTTTTTTTTTTTTTTTTGAGACAAAGTCTCACTTTGTTGTCCAGGCTAGAGTGAGTGCCGTGGCTTCAGCCTAGCTCACAGCAACCTCAAACTCCTGGGCTCGAGTGATCCTTCTGCCTCAGCCTCCCGAGTAGCTGGGACTACAGGCATGTGCCACTATGCCCGGCTAATTTTTTATATATATATATCAGTTGGCCAATTAATTTCTTTCTGTTTATAGTAGAGACGGGGTCTCGCTCTTGCTCAGGCTGGTTTTGAACTCCTGACTTTGAGCAATCCGCCCGCCTCGGCCTCCCAAGAGCTAGGATTACAGGCGTGAGCCACAGCGCCCGGCCTATTTCTTGATGTAGGTGCTGCTTTCATGAATGCATTCAGTTCTATGAAGTTACCAACTAAAATTAGGATTAGGCCGGGCGCGGTGGCTCATGCCTGTAATCCTAGCACTCTGGGAGGCCGAGTCGGGCGGATTGCTCGAGGTCAGGAGTTCGAAACCAGCCTGAGCCAAGAGCGAGACCCCGTCTCTACTATAAATAGAAAGAAATTAATTGGCCAACTAATATATATAGAAAAAATTAGCCGGGCATGGTGGTGCATGCCTGTAGTCCCAGCTACTCGGGAGGCTGAGGCAGCAGGATCGCTTGAGCCCAGGAGTTTGAGGTTGCTGTGAGCTAGGCTGACACCACGGCACTCACTCTAGCCTGGGCAACAGAGAGAGACTCTGTCTCAAAAAAAAAAAAAAAAAAAAAAAAAAAAAAAAAAAAAAAAAAAAAAACCAAAAAAACAAAATAAAATTAGGATTAGTATATTTTTTCAATAAGAAAGTAAAAAAATCCTTGACAGTTTTCCCTGAAACCAGTTAAAACATATCAAAATGATTATTGTAAACTTGGCTCTACAGAATGTAATAACTAAAGTTATTCTTGAGAGTATTATATAATGTAAAAGTAGAGTAAGATCTGGGATGTAAAATTTTAAATTAAATGAACAGACACAAAAGGGGGTAATGATGAAAGTAAGGAAAAGCTAGCCTTTTTCCAGGTAAGATATACTCAAATGATACTCTTTCACTCTTGACCTCAGTGGTTGGTGAAATGTTGGCCGAAGAATTCTTTTTGGAAATCTCTAAATGTAGTAAACACAATGTGTAATACTCAGAAAGCATAAAATCTAATGTAAATTAAGGCTTTAATATGTCATTATAATGAATGTAAATGGATTAAATTCTATAAAAAGACACACATTAGGTTAAAATATTTTTAAGTATTACAAGAGACTTTTAAGACAAATTCATAGAAATGCTAACAGTGAGAATCACCCAAATAATTCTACGTGTGAGCAGAAAATGAAAATAGATTCCCTTTGTTTTTCTATATGCTAAAATAGATTCAAAATGGATTAAGGACTTAACTTTGAGGATAAAATATAGGGAATTTATCTTTCTTACCATGTTGCACAGGACAGTATTATGATTCCAAAGATCTTTGTGAGATGTGTTTATTTGACCACAAAGTATTCAAGTTGGCTAAAGAGAGTTAGGAGTTCTCTGTAGGTGATGGTGAGGATCCCTGATTAGATTGAGTGGTTGCTTTTTATTCTCCCAGCGATAAATTGGATTTCTATTCTAAAACACACAAACTGCCTTTTAGACAGTTACCAGTATTTAACTTCCCTCAGTGTTCTACTTGGCAGTTTTACTTGTTTTTCCTAAGCATTCTCATGTAGAGGTTTTCCAGGTGAAGTATCGTTTTTCAGTGCCCTAGGTTTAATCAGCTATCAAGTATATAATGTTAATAACTATCTCATGTTTATGAATTTTAATCTAACAGTACACTCGAGCAGACATTCTGATACATTCTGCATTTCTATTATATATTTTTAGCATTGCACAGCCATGGTACAGCACCACGGCCTCAGATTACAAAGGAATATTGCTTATAGTATGTTAAGTATGTCTTAAAAATAGATGAGAAAAGACAACCCAAGAAAAGATAAGACATACTCAGGAATTTTTACAGATTGAGAAACATAAATTTCATGATATATGAAAAGATGGTATTAGGGAAAGATAAATTGAGATAGATATAATTCTGTATCCAAATAGATTGGTAAAAATCAAATCTGGCAATACCAAGGTTTCTAGAGGATGTGGATTAGAGGTAACTCTTGCACATTGCCTGTATGGATGTATTAATAACTTGGCAAAACTGCTTCAGAAAATTTGGTTGTGTTGAAAAGTTGAACATATAAACCTTATCACTTACTCGACGAACACACTCAAGAAATGTTTACACATACGTACCTTGAGCTGGAAATGTTCAAAACAGCAATTTTAATGTAAGAACACCAACATAAACTAAAAATGACCCAAAGATCCTTCATAGATGACTAAATAAACAAATTTTGGTATATTGACCCAATGGATTATTACACCGCCATGAACATAAGTTGTTATACACAACCATGTGGGTGAATTTTGGACATATACATGAAGGAAGAAATGAGTATATTAGAAAACTGTATAGTTTGCTCAAAAACAAAATTACACAGTCTATTTATTTGTTACTTACGATATATATTTTTCATATAATATATATATGTTTTGTTGGGTTTTTTTTTGAGACAGAGTCTTACTTTGTTGCCCAGGCTAGAGTGAGTGCCGTGGTGTCAGCCTAGCTCACAGCAACCTCAAACTCCTGGGCTAAAGCAATCCTTCTGCCTCAGCCTCCCGAGTAGCTGGGACTACAGGCATGCGCCACCATGCCCGGCTAATTTTTTCTATATATTTTTTTTAGTTGGCCAATTTCTTTCTATTTATATAAGGTACTCAGGAAAAGAAATCTACAATTATCAGATGTATAAACTCACAGGATTTAGTTCTCATAGATTTCCAGTCAAAGTAGAACTTTTCTCTTGTGAGAAATATTCAATTACACAGCACATATTTATTTTCTTTTTTGTTAGGAATTCTGCCTCGGAAATAAGAAAAAAAGAATGTTAGTGTTTACAGAGCACATAAGAAGTGTCTCTTTAGGTGAAGCTGCTTATTTTATGCATCCTGATTACCAAACTAAATATGTATACTTCACCATGCTAAAGGAAAGATTTGCTTTGTCCATTTTCTCATGGAAATAACACAAAAATTATATTCATCAAAAGGCAATCAAATATGCAGTTTTAGAGGAAAAATAGAATTCTATAGGTATATTATCAATAGGCCCTTAATGAAAAAATTATTATGTTGTTTTTCTGGAGTTTGTAATGTTTATACTTCAGGTTTTTAAAAATTGTAATTTATTGTATTTTTTCCCTAATTTTAAATACTAACCTCAACCTTCAGGTCTCACAAAACCTGGAACTGTACTTGATCAAATGATATACTCAATAAAAAGAATATAGTAAAAGAAAACTTTGAGTAAGAAAATAAATAGTGGTAAATGAAAATATAGATAACTGGTCTGTCATGTGTCAACATAATTCACTTTGTTTGCTTATGTTAGGTCTTTGATTTCCTTGTAATCTGGCAACATTCTTTTAACCACTTCGGTAGGAGTGTCGACTATAGTTGACAACCACAGATGAATGTGCACAGCCAAGCGTGGACTTTAGCCGACAGCTGTGATATGACTTCTCTAATTTTTCATTTATCAAAATAAAATTGTGAACACTTAAAAATAACATAATAAAAACATGTTATGTATATATTACCTATTCTGATATGCATTACAAGTAAAGCTGCCTGTAAAGTAAAACAAGCTTTCAGTGCTTTAAAGCTTTCCTCATCACACAAGAGCAAACCAGATTCGTCGTCAATGCACAGAACAAACTATTGTGCGGGGACTCTGAGTGCCAGCTCTGGGCAAGGTTTCTTGTCCGGTGAGCGCCGTACCGAAGTAGTTAAACCATTTACCTACTCACAGTTCAGATGAAAGGTGATGTGAATACTAAGGTGTAAACACTAACATTTTTCTCTGCTATGTAGTAAATTCCTCTTAAATTGTAAGAAATGATTAAGAATGAACTATTCGTTAAGATAAATTTAAAAATTGGCCTGTTTCTTTGAACTGTCATCATGTCATGTATCTTAGTGCTTGTTTTATACTCATGACTACCGGAAATTACTTGTGTAGTACCATTTATTTTGGAAATTCGAAAATTAGGAAAGCTTAAAAAGGTACCACTATGTGTAGTAAATGGAATGTTTTATTCAAAGTTTTATTTGTTCTTTTGAAGCAGTGCAATTTAATCTTTCGAGCATTTAAACTGTGAGCTATTGGAGGATTAAATTTAAAGTGAGTGGTTATGATGCTGAGGCGATATAACAAAAAGTGGTCAGATAATTATCAGTCTTAGTATGAAGTAGAGGCTTACTAGCAATAAAAATTTGAATTTGTGTAATTTAGGTGTATAGAAAAAATTGGAATTATTTTTATGTTTTCAGTGACATGAAAGTGAATGTAATTTCCAATGAAGTGATTATCTAAATCTGGAGAGATAGTATTAACATTATTTTAATATTGTAAATAAACAACTTCACTGGAGCATTGGATTTAAATATGATTTCTTAAATTCCAGGATATGAAAGATGGCAAGTCCAGATAAAAGTAAACGGAAGATATTAAAAGCCAAAAAAACAATGCCTACAAGTTGCCGGAAGCAAGCCGAGATGCTGAATAAATCAAAGAATGTTGAAGCACTGAAAATAACAGCAATTGGGAGTAATGTTCCAAATAATAATCAGAATTTAAGTGCTGGTGTCATAACTAGCAAATGTAGACATTCTGAAAACATTGCTTCTTCATTGGACTCTAACAAAAATTTAGTATTCCTACAGAAAAGTAAAGCATTCCCTCAGAATTTAATAAAACCAGTAGAAGAAATGGTTAATTCAGAAACAAGATTGGAATATGTTGCCAAACAAGTTGTGTGTCCAAGTAAAATAATAGATTCTCCCAGTAAACTCTTTATACAAGAGGCAAAAGTTTCACAAAACACTTCTGAAAATCATTTTGAATATCAGGCAAATGTAACAAGATCCTTTTTTGAACATGAAGGGGCTTATAATCTAAATTCCATTTGCTCTCAACCTAGTATATTAAGTGATATAATTCAAATGCTAAAGTCTACAGGAACCAATACCTTGGATGATAAGAAAATTGACAAGATGGCTTCTCATTTAGAAACAAATTCCAATTCAGAGTCACACGATAAAAGGCAAAGTGATATTTTAAGTTCAGACTCAAATTTTATGTCTGGCGAGAAAACACCTATCTTGGTGAATTTGATTAATTCCAACAACTGTGCTGCTGATGTTTTGAAAAATGAAGACTCTAGTAGAACCTGTCATTCTAGCATTTCAAATTGTGAAAGTACAGACCTGAAGAGGCAGTTAACACCTGATGCTGATAACAGTAAGTGTATACTTAGGGGTATTTTGGACAAATTAAAATAATCACTTTGGGGAGATTTTAAAGTCTCAAATATACAAATGGGTAAAGTACATACAGAGAGGAAAAAAGTAAATGACAACAGTATTTCAGAGTATCTTATTACTGAACCATTTTTGGTGGGGAGGGGGAAAAGGTATCCACCATATCAAAAGGGAAGTTAATCCTGATAAGGAATCAGTCTCTCTGTTTACAGTACAAAAAAAAAAAAAAAGACTCAAAAGGTGGCTTATATTGATTGTGTGGTTCATTTTATCTACATCTCTTATTTTGAAGTTTTATTTATTAGGTTAAGAAGGAGGCTAGTTTTAAAACAGAATGGGTTTTTGTTTTTTGTTGTTTTTTTTTTTAGAGATGAGGTCCTGCTGTGTTGCCCATGCTGGAATATAGTGGTGTGATTACAGTTTACTGCAGCCTCCAACAACTCGTAGGCTCAGCGATTCTCACACCTTGGCTTCCCAAAGTGCTGGGATTACAGGTGTGAGCCACAGTGCCTGGCCAAGAGCGGGTCTTTAAAAATTGTTGTTGAACCCATTTCTTTCCATAGGATTCACTTATAAATCACATGCTAAGTATAAGATAATAGATGACAATATACACCTATACATATTTGTGTGTATGTGTAGAGAAAGATATTAATAGAAACACAAAGTGATTAAAAAATGAAGTTTGGAGTTATTAAAATAGTAAAAGTAAATTCCATTAGAAGTAAGGTATTTAATGAAATAAAAGAAAACTGATTTCATAGGATAAATTTTGTGTTCTTTTTTTTTTTTTTTTTTGAGACAGAGTCTCACTTTGTTGCCCAGGCTAGAGTGGTCAGCCTAGCTCACAGCAACCTCAAACTCCTGGGTTCAAGCAATCCTGCCTCAGCCTCCCAAGTAGCTGGGACTACAGGCATGTGCCACCATGCCCGGCTAATTTTTTTCTACATATATATATTGGTTGGCCAATTAATTTCTTTCTATTTATAGTAGAGGCGGGGTCTCGCTCTTGCTCAGGCTGGTTTCAAACTCCTGACCTCGAGCAATCCACCCGCCTTGGCCTCCCAGAGTGCTAGGATTACAGGCGTGAGCCAATTTTGTGTTCTTGTCTAGACTACAGAGCAGTCATTTAACAAGATGAATTTAAGGTTGCTTAAAAATAATATCACCTATTAAAATTATGTAAGTCTGCCTGAGTTACCTGTTTATAAAAAATAATGCAGGACCACTTATATAACTATAAATAGAGGATTCATATAATTTATTACATTTTTTATTGGGGGGGTGCGTGTATTAAGATTGAAAGAGGAGTGTATCTGAGACCACAACCCTACCTAAGATGTTCATTATTTGTTAAAGGAACCGTTTGTGGGAATATTCATGTGCAGTTACATATTTTAAAAATGCTGCCATTGTCACATTTTAGTTTTTCCATTTGCTTAGAGGTTCTCTAAATTAGAGAATTCCTCTTATCTTTAATCTTTCCATCTCCCCAAGGCCATTATCAAAAGAAGAGGATGTTTTCAGAAAACAAAGAAAATGTTAAGCGTATGAAAACCTCAGAGCAAATTAATGAAAATATTTCTGTAGCTCTGGAAAGGCAAACAGCATTGCTGGAACAGGTAAAATATTGAAATATTGGCTTCAAAAACTTATTTTTGACTAGTAAAATGGTAAAAAGTAACTGATGTCCACAACAACATTGTATAGATGCCTTTCACTTGATGCAAAGCTGGTGTGTGAAAACCAAATTAGCAGAAAGATAGGGAAAGGTAATTATGTACATTACCAAAACATCTCTAGTTTCTTGAAAATGATCTTATGCAGAGTCCCCTGGGGAATCATATGAAGGTACAGTCCTGTTGCAGAAATGGGCTTTCAGCGTTACACTGAAAAACCTCTGTGAGACGACACTGCTTGACCTTTAGCTTTGCTAAACAATCTGAGCTCTTTTGTGATAGTCGTGGAGCTCTTTGATCTGCAGCTATATCTGATTGTAGACCTCATCACAATTGACCACTACTTCATAGACTCAGACAAGCCAGCAGTCCATTGCAAAGTCCTGCTGCATTTAAGTTTACTTGCCCTAATTTCCAAACTTAACACAGATAGTGGTATAAAGCAAATGACATTTTGCTTTATAGCATCACTAAACACACTTCTTGCTTTTATTTTGGCCTCATTTCATCTCATTGTACTATAGTCTTAATACGTGTTCGATCAATTCTGAGTTGATGTGTAATGAGCTGCAGTTCTACTAGAATGGCTGTGATCAGGACCTGTTTTGATAATCATGTTTTACTATTTTACTATCACTACAATGTCACCACTACTAAAAGTCTTGTGGTAGATAAATGGACCAACATTTCCTAGTCTAATCTATTCTACACACTGTTTCAGAAACACAAACACTACTGTTTCTAAAACAGACCATTACAATTACGCAGTTATATCCTATGAATGTGTGTTCACTTTATAAAAGGAAATCTTTTTGAAAGACTCATGCAGAACCAGCTTAAAAGGTGAGTCAATAGTTTTTCCCTTTATATCTCTTGATTTTCTTCCAGGAAGACCAAAAGTGACAAAATAAAAAATAAGTAAATGTTCTATTGCTGGCAGAGGAGGTACTAGAATTATCAATCTAGCCTGAGGCCAAGTTATCCAAGAAAAATTCCATCTGTATCTTGTTTCTAGTGATTAGTAGCTACATTAGGAAACAAGTTCTGATATGGACATAACTATCTCTAAATAGCTAGCTTTTCCTCACTTGTTACAATTCACATCCAAACAATTATCTCTCTAAACCACATTTGTGTGTTCACCTTGTTTGAATTTTACTGAGATATAGGGCTCCCCATTTTGAAATTATTCTCCCCTCATAAGCGTCCTAGAGCTGTTATCTCTTAACCTTTTGTGGTTTCATAAGGATCTTGGCCTAGTTCATTCCAGTTAAATTGCTGAAGTGGAAGGGTTTTTCCTTTCAAGTCCAAGTTATTCACTCTACCCACTGTCTTAGAAAGTTGGGATAGATTGGGGAGATACTTAAATTTGTACCTTCTCCAAATTATAGTCTTATCTGTTTGCTGTCTGCAAATTGAAATCAGGACTTCCATCCGACTCCATAAAATTGAGCACATAACCATTGGAAAAAATGTATGACATATTTGATGGAGGTTATTGTGTTTTGCTTCTGTATGAGGAATGTTACCATTAAACAAGAAAAAGTATTCATTCTAACCAAGAGGAATCACTCCTTTGTGGACACTTGGTCCAAAATAATCAAGTTTAAGGACCTCCCTTTATCTGCATCACCAGAAGTACCTATTTAAGTTGTGGTTTCTTTAGCTAATAGTCAAAGACTGTTGTTTTAGGATACTGTTTTCTCAGGCTTACCTGATATCACTTGTAGTGCCTGTTAATTATACAACTTTCCAGCCCCCTTTCCTGAAGATTGGTTTGATAAATTCAGGATGGGACCCAGGAATTTGTGATTTTAACAAGTGTCCCATGTGATTCTTCCTCATCAGGGAAGTTTGAAGAACACTGTAGAAAACAGTGTTCACATGTTTAAAACATTTAGATAAGTTTTTCAAGATTCATCTGGGTATGAGCTTCACATATTGACCCTAGCCAGTGAACTGACAAGCATGTGATGATCTGTAAAACCCACCCATGAATAGTAGGTAATGGCTGTAGGTAAAAACGTGTTTCTCACTGTTTGTTTACATAATATATTTTGAGCACTTGTTTGATCAAATATTTAAAAGTTGTAAAGATGGTAATCATGTCTAATAACATTGTGAAACCATGGGAGAAATGTTAGCGAAGCAGTATGGAAGAGATCAAGTAGACAACATTGAAGAGAACAACTGGAAACAAGAAGGAAAAACCTAGAGAATAATGAAATAAAATTAAATAATATAACTAATCACCCAGGTGATATCAGTATAAAAGAGCTTAATATAGGAACTATGTGTTCCAGTTTTGAGCACCATGATGCAAGATATTGAGGGGGAAACGGTGTAAATATTACTAATACCTTCAGTGTATCATGATGGGGGTGTCATTATTAAGTGCAGCAGACCTACCCTGTTACGATAGTTGCTTATGGGAGGATATGCACTGAGAGGAAAACTACAGTGAATGTTTCTAAATGAATGACCCCAGCAGAGCTGCTCATGTCAGTGGGCATTGAGATTAATTATTCTCCCTGAAAATGGGCCACTCTGTTTTCAAGAAAATAGCCAGGTAACGAAACATTCATTTGTCATAAGATAGCTACTATACTCTGTTAGAATAGCATGCATCATGTCAGGTAACATTAGTTGCTATGTAATTGTCCCTGGCATCTTTCAGTTTTAGCAGTAAGAAAGCCACCTTCTAAAAACATGCAGCTAATGGTGATTATTTGCATATTTATTTCCCCTCATATCAATTCATTGTTTTGTTTATTTTATGGAACTCTTTCACACATTACCTTATTGTGTTCTTATAAAAATTCTTTGAGTATCACTTGTTCAAGAAACATTTATTGTATTATTTACCCATTTGTGGACAAGGAAAACGAAGCTCAGAGATATAACTTCCCAAAGGTCATATAGCTTATTAATGGTAAGGTCAAGGCTCAAATTTGTATAATTTGTTCCATATCTAGTACAAACCAAACATTTTCATTGAGCTCTGGTTTTCAGTAAGTAGAGCTCCTTTTTATGAAATAGTAACTTTTAGTTTAGGTTATTAAATATAAGTGGGACATAGTCTTTAATTTATTTCTATAATTGTATATTATGGAATTCAGCTGGCACTGTGGGCAACTAAAATTTGTACTATGAGAATAAATTAAGTTCTAGCATGTCTGTGTATTTAAATATTGAATATGTTGTGAGTTTAATCAAGTTTTATAAAACTTACTGGTATAGTAATATAAACATACAAATATAAATAAAGTATGTTTTATTGGTTATAGTAAATCTAGAAAAGAACAAAGCTACTTTGCAAAAGTAGAAAAGAAAATGGCTTTTAAATTTGAAATGGGTGTTTTGGTTTTTATTTTAAAATTCTAGGTCAGACATTTGATTCGACAGGAGATCTGTAGTATAAATTATAAATTATTTGATAATAAACTGAAAGAATTGAAGGAACGCATTGGGAATACACAGTGCAGGAATAAACATGAAGCAATAGCTGATGAACTCTTCGTAAGTTTCTAATTTCATGTGATTTTATTTGAGTCCTTTTAAAAAGTAGAATTTGGTGATATCTTTCATATTAGGAAAGGAGACCCCAATCTGATTCCTGGCCACAGGCTTAATGTATACCATAGACAATAGACTTTATTATATCTTAGCAATATTGGCTCTTGAGAAATAGTTTCAGAAATATTAGGCATTCTGTGTCAATTAAATGACTTAAACCATAGGCAGTTTTTCTTTGTTCTAAATATATCCTTTATTAGAGCTTATGCAACCTGTTTTCAAGCTTTTTTGGACTTTCTTGTTTTGTTTTACTCTGCTAGGATTACTTGCTGATCGGCATTTTTACCAACATTAATTTATTGTGGACCAATTAGAAGTTAGAGGTTTTTATCTTCTATTCTTGAATATCATACGAGCATAAAATGTGGTTTAAATGTTTTGCTTATATAAGAATTTCTCATTTATTTGGGTAAATGCCTAAGTCTCACAGACTACTTTGGCAGATAATTTTCCCTCCATCTCTATATGATACATTAGTTTATTTGTTTTTCTCTTTTCCTTCTAGGCAAAAATAGCAAAACTTCAAAGACGTATTAAAACAGTAATATTATCTCAAAGGAATTGTTTGAAACCAAACATGTTATCCAGTAATACAACCTGTGAGGTTGGTATAAACACACGGGAATTTTAATTAACCTAGTCTAACATTGTATGTAGTTGGATTGTAAGAAATGAATATATTTCTAAGTTAGGACAGAAGGCTTAAAGGACAGTTAGGTTAATACTTAGAATGTTTCCTTGAATTGACCTCTGGAGAAGACACCCTTAAGTAGTAAATGCCACTTGTATTTCTTCAGTTAAGGAAGTAGGGGATTAATGATTGCCTAGACTGTCTCTCTCCCATCTTTTCTCATGAAGAGTATCAAACATACAGCAAAGTTGAAAGAATTTTGTAGTGAATACCTATATACTCAGCACCTAGAATCTACCTTTAATATTTTATTATACTATACTTTTGTCATTTATCTGTCAATCTATTTACCCCCCAACCAGCTTATATTTGGTACACACAAAATACCAATGTGTTTTGTACCACGTACAGTTTCAAAATATTACATGTATATTATAATGGTACATTATGCATTATGTAGAATTTAGTATCTGTATTTTTGCATAAAATTTAAATGTAATCTTCAGTGTACATTCACTGAATTTCTTAAATAATGTCTTTATTAGGCTTTGGTATCACATACTAGCCCCAGTAAATGAGTTGGCAAGCACTTTCTCCTCTGTTTTCTGAATGTTTGTGTGAGATTTTTATTACTTTTGTATATATTTTGTCAAATCTACTTCAGAAAACTGGGCAAGGAGCTTTCTTTGTAAAAAGATTTTGACTTGAAGATTCAAGCTGGGAGTGGTGGCTCTTGCCTGTAATCCTAGCACTTTGAGAAGCTGAGGCAGGAGGATCCCTTAAGGCCAGGAGTTTGAGATCAGCCTGGGCAATATAGTGACACCCTGTCACTACAAAAAATAAAAAATTAGCCAGGCATGTTGGTGTATACCTGTAGTGCTAGCTATTCAAGAGACTGAGCCAGGAGCATCACTTGAGCCTGGAAGTTGGAAGTTGCAGTGAGCTGTGATCACACCACTGAACTCCATTCTGGCTGACAGTGAGACCCTGTCTCAATGAGAAATAAAAAAGTTCAACTCTTTAATAGGTATAGGGCAATTTAAATTTTCTTTTTCATCTTGTATCAGTTTTATATATTATCTTTGTGAGGAATTTGTCCATTTTATCTAAATTATTAGCATAAATTCATAAACTTCCCTTATGCTTTTTGTTTATAATATTATAGTAAGAAACTATACTGCAGTTCAGATATGGTTAATGTATGGGTGTTTAAAAATTAATCTTGGTGAAGTTTTATTCTCTCATTTTGCTTCTTCTATATTTCTCTTTTTATTTCCTTTTTTTTTTTTTTTTACTTACGACAGAATTGTTCTTTTTCCGGCTTTTTTTTTTTTTTTTTTGAGAAGAGTCTCACTTTTTGCAACCCAGGCCTAGTTCAAGAAATCTAACTCTCTTAGCCCAACTGAAATGGTAAGTGTCTTGTGGCCAATTAGAGGCGCACATCTCAACGAGGCCATCTGCTCTTCTGAGCAGCAAATCCATACCAATACTCCGTAAGCCTACACACCAATTCCACATGGTATAACACAATACAGAATTCCCTCCCGAAGTAGTTAGTGTTAAAGTTAGTCTTATCAATTTTGAAATCCTGATTTAGCATACATATGACATGGAGCAACACAACCAAAGGGAATCTATTTGTCGTCTTTTCTGTCCAAGTAGCAATATGCACGGTGGGTCTGAAATTCCTACTGTTAGACCTTCTAATGAATTTTCTTAAAGTCTCTATAGTAAATCCTATATAAAAGTATTTGCCATTATATATAAGTTAACAATTGTTCAATTGATAGTTCAGCGACTGTGTCGGTTTTCGTATAGTCATTGCACTCCATTTGCTATCAAAGCGCTGGTTTCGAACTCGACATGACCTTGAGCAATTCCGAGACCGAACGCCTCGGTAATCTCAATCCCAGAGGTGTTGCATACATTTCACATCTAGGCTTGAAGCCATTTTAATGCTATTCTGAGTATTACAAATTGTGATCATGATTTTTTAAAGAGCCGTAGATTTAGCCTTGAATACGAAATTGTAAGTTAAAGACTGCCAGTGAGAGTGCAGAGAGAAGTGAAGACACGAGTAGACCAATATGTAGGCTTAGAACGTACAATCTTCCATGTAGACAGACTTGTTGTTCTACCTACATCTAGCG